CGATTGGGCAGGCAGGCGAGCAGTTAGGGGCATCAGGCAGGCAGGCAGAGGTGGTTAGGGGTGATCAGGCAGGCAAGCAGAGTGGTTAGGGGTGATAAGACAGGCAGACAAGCAGTTAGGGGCATCAGGCAGGCAGGAAGAGTGGTTAGGGGCAATCAGGCAGACAGACGAGTGGTTAGGGGTCATCAGGCAGGCAGATGAGTACTTAGGGGCGATCAGGCAGGCAGAATGGTTAGGGGTGATCAGGCAAGCAGGCAGGCGAGCAGTTAGGAGCCGAGGTCCCAGATTGCGAGAGGATGCAGGCTGGGCTGAGGGCCGCCCCCCCCCACCCTCCTCTAGTATGATATATAATTAAATCACTAAACAAGAAATCAGCACATAATCTAATGTTATTTAATACATGAGAAGGTTCGCTTTGTTCTTGTAAAATGTAATTCAGGAATGCTAATTTTAGCCCTGGCTGCTTTGGCTCAGTGGATAGATCCTCGGCCTGCCGACTATAAGGGTCCTGGGTTCGATTCCAGTCAAGGGCACATCCCCAATGGGGGTCATGCAGGAGGCAGCCGATCAGTGATTCTCTCTCATCATTGATGTTTCAATCTCTCTCTCCCTCTCCTTTCCTCTCTGAAATCAATAAAAAACATATTTAAAAAAATGCTAATTTTAAATCAAGGTTTAACTGTTCTTTTTTTCTTCCTATAGTGCCGCTCAGATTCTTGAGGGGTATCCTGTTCTCTATTATACAAGGTTTGTCCTTTTTGAATGCAGATGTTAAAGCATCCTGGTTGGTTTGAGGACAAGTCTTAAAATAGTGAGAATTTTAATAACATATTAAATTGACATTTCTTCTTTTAGATTTAGAGAATTGTTCAAAGCCAAATTGGGACTACTTGGAGAAAGGAAGGGTGATGATGATTTAATTGCATTTCTCTTACATGTGAGTTTATCATTTAATCTCTTTTTCTGATTAACATTTGAATTATTAATTAGCATCTTCTCAAAGAACTGAGATTGATAAATATACTTATTTTCATTAGCTCATGGAAAACACAGAAGCTGATTTTACAATGACATTTCGGCAGCTCAGTGAGATTACTCAAAGCCAGTTACAGGAGCTCAACATTCCTCAGGTATTCATTAGTGACATTTGGCTTTTTTAACTGGGTTATTGAGGTATAATTTATATTCCATAAAATTTCACTCACCTTAAGTATACAATTCAGTGATTTTTAACTAATTTACACATTTGTGAAGTTATCACAATGCAATTTTGGAACAATTCCAACACACCTTGGTTCTTTGTGCCCTTTTGCAGTCAGTCTCTGCTTCTATGCCCAGCTCCTAGCAACTACTGATTTATTTTCTATGTCTCAAGGTTTTCATTTTCTAGACATTTCCTATAAATGGAATCATACAATATGTGGTCTTTTGCATCTGGCTTCTTCACTTTGCATATTTTGAGGCTCATTCATGTTGTAACCTGTATCAGTAGTTCTTGCCTCTTTCTTTCGTTGTATAGACATACCACATTTTACTGATCCATTAGGGTCATTTCCATCTTTGGATATTGTGAATAAACACTGCTCTGAACATTTGGGTACAAGTTTTTGTGTGAACACATGTTTCATTTCCCTCGTGTATATTCTAGGAGTGGAATTGCTGGATGGTTTAGTAAATTTGTTTAAATTTTAAATTTTAAACTGTTTCCAAAGTGGCTGCACTTAATTCACTTTTAAAAATATATGTTGCCACCCTAGCCGGTTTGGGTCAATGGATAGAGCTTTGGCCAGCGGACTGAAGGGTCCTGGGTTTGATTCCGGTCAAGGACATGTACCTGGTCGGGGCACATGTGGGAGGCAACCAATGGATGTGTCTCTCCCCTCTCTAAAAAAAAAAAAAAAAAAATCAATGGAAAAATATCAAGTGAGGATTAACAAAAGCGTATATGTTGCCTTTTCATTTCAATTATAATACATTGAATATATTGTTTATGGAATAATATGGGTATTGCCAGAAGATTTCTATTTACTATATATTTTTAGAAACATAGATCTGTTTTTAAGGTCTCAGTCATATATATTGCAGTTATTGTTTTTATCATTGTTGAGATTAAAACCTAGTCTTATTTTTTTCAATTTTAATTTCTTCATTATCTTTCATGACATTCTCTATAATGTTATCTTTTTATAATTCAGAAGATATTCAGCCTCATTTATGCACTCATGCAACACGTACTTATTGAGAACTCACTGTTGTTGACAGTTTATTCTGGGATAGACATAGTAAATGTTTTACAAAATAATAAAAATTTATTAATATAGTGACAGTAATAGCTAACATTTGAGTCCTTATTATGTTCTAGACACTATTCTAAGCATTTTATATATAAAATCTGTGACATAACATATAAGGTAATACCATTGTGATATCTATTTTACTGATAAAGAAATGGAGGCATAGAGAGATTAGGTAACTAGCGCCAGGTCACACAGCTAGTAAAAGGCTGGCTGGATTCAAACACAGGCAGCTTTCCCCAGAGTTCATGCTCCTAGTAATTCCCAAGCTCTTTCTCATTTAAAAAAAGGATGGGCCAATTCTTTCCTCAGTCCCTTGATCCAGGCAGTCACCAAAGGAAAGGTATCTTGGGCTAAGTCATCAGGCTTGGAATTAGAGTCCTGTGGAGTTTGTGGAGCTTCCACAGTCATTTTCATGCGTATGTTTAGGGGGAAGTGTTCTGTGGTGACTGGAGAGAGCTGGCCCTGGCAGCAGATTAGGTGCTTCAAATCCGGGGTTCCCTTTTGACAGGCCATGTGAGCTTGTACACATTACTCAGTTTCTCTAACCCTCACTTGTTTCATCTGTAAGATAGAATTAGTAATAATGCCTACCTCATTGGTACTCAATAATGTTGTCTAGCAGTAGAGATTTCAGACTTCTGTTTTTTCAGTGTGATCTCCACATGGAGTTTAAAGGAAAGGGTGCCATGATCGAAACTATACTACCAGAGGCTTCATTCAGCTCTTACCACTTATTTACAACTATTTTCAAACAAAAATAGCCGTCAGTGTTGGAGATGAGAGTTAAACTAGTGTTCTTTGAAAAAGAAGCATAGTACGTGTTATTGTAAAGATAGGTATGGACCATAGTAATTATAAGAAAAAATATTTTTCTCATGGGCATGGACAGCCTTAAATTACATTTCAAGGAATGATTTGAATTAAAAAATGTCTACCTATTCAGTGGGAAATACAGAAAAATGTTAACCAATAAGAATCTTTGATATAATTGAAAAAATTATTAATGATGAATCTATCAGAACTAATTATCATTTAATGTGTAGAAAACTGAGACAAAGTAATGTTAAAGTGACTTCTTCAAGTCTTTGACAGATATCAATAGTTAAATTACTAAGAGTTGGGAAAATTTAATTGTGAAGAGCTCATTACACTTTTAATCATTTAAATAGTTAATTTCTGTCTTTTGAATATGAAACCTTTTCAACCCCCTGACTTTTAGGTGGAGCTAATTGCTCATTCTTTTGTGTTCCCTTATCCTTTATATATATGCACTAGAGGCCCGGTGCACAAAATTTGTGCACAGGAAGGGGGGGGGGTGTCCCTCAGCCCAGCCTGCACCCTCTCTAATCCGGGATCCCTCTTGAAATCCAGGACCGCTGGCTTGTAACTGCTCGCCTGCCTGCCAGCCTGATCCCCCTAACTGCTTTCCTCTGCCGGTCTGAATGCCCTAACTGCTCTCCCCTGTTGGCCTGATCACCCCTAACTGCCTCTGCCTTGGCCCCGCCACCATGGCTTTGTCTGGAAGGATGTCTGATCTAATTAGCATATTACCCTTTCATTAGTATAGACTAGTGGCCCGGGGCACGAAATTCGTGCACAGGGGGGGGGGTGTTCCTCAGCCTGGCCAGCACCCTCTCC